ATAAAGAGCCCAGAATGAGACCACATAAATATAGTCATCTGATATTTGACAAAGGAGCAAAGGCAATAAAATGAAGCAAAGATAGTCTTTGCAACAAATATTGCTGATATAACTGCATATTTACATGCAAAAACTGAATCTAGACAGACCTTACAGCTTTTACAAAAATTAATTCAAAATGAATCACAGACCTAAATGTATAACAACACTATAGAACTGCTAAAAGATAACAGGAGAAAATCTAGGTCACCTTGGACTTGATGATGATTTTTTTTAAAAGCAACATCAAAGGCATGATCCATGAAAGAAAACATTGATAAGCTGGACTTCATTAAAATTAAAAATTTCTACTCTGCAAAAGACACTCAATCCACAGAATGGAAGAAAACACTTGCAAAAGATATATTTGATAAAGAATTATTATCCAAAATATACAAAGAACTCTTAAAACAACCATAAGAACACAAACCCAATTAAAAAGTAAGCCAAAGATTGTAACAGACACCTCACCAAATATAATAACACATATGGCAAATAAGCATAAGAAAAACTGTTCAACATCATATGTCATTAGGGAAATGCAAATTAAAACAACACTGAGATACCATTATGTACCTATTATAAATGGAATGGCCAAAATCCAGAACACTGACAACACCAAATGCTGGCGAGGATGTGGAGCAACAGGAACTCTCATTCATTGCTGGTGGAAATGCAAAATGGTATAGCCACTTTGGAGAAAACTTTGATGGTTTTTACAAAACTAAACATACTCTTTCCATATAATCTAGCAATCTTTCTCCTTGGTATTTACCCCCCCAAAAGTCGAAAGCTTTTAGTTCACATGAAAACCTGCACACAGGTGTTTATAGAAGCTTAATCACAATTGCCAAAACTTGGAAGCAACCAAGATGTCCTTTAGTAGGTGAATGGATAAATGGTAATACATCCAGACAATGGAATATTATTTAGCATTAAAAAGAAATGAGTTGTCAAGCCACGAAAAGACATGGAGGAACCTTAAATGCTCATTACTAAGTGAAAGAAGTTAATGTGAAAAGGATATATATTGTATAATTTCAACTACGACATCCTGGGAAAGGCAAAACCATGGAGACAGGGAAAAGAGCAGTGGATGCCAGGGGTTGGGCAGGGGCTGGGGGAAGAGAAGCTTGAACAGGGAGAGCACAGAGGATTTTTTAGGGCAGTGAAATTATTCTGTATGAGACTATAATGGTGGATATATGTCACTGTAAATTTTTCCAAATCCATAGAGTGAATGTATAACACCAAGAGTGAACCCTAATGTAAACTATGGACTGTGAGTGATAATGATGTGTCAGTGTAGGTTCATCATTGTGACAAATGTACCTCTGGGGGTGGGGGATGCTGACAATGGGGAAGGCTATGAATGTGTGGAGCAGGGAGTATGTGGGAAATTTTTGTACCTTCTTCTTAATTTTGCTCTGAATCTAAAACTGCTCTAAAAAAACAAAGTCCATTTAAGACAAAAAAAAAGTAAAGACATGCCAAAGTGAGGGTATAGTATTGTGGTATACACTTAATAAAGTTATGTTTTAAACATTCACAATACAATGCAATACATTTTGTTACTCACAAGATAATTAAAGGTTTTATTTTAAAAGTCATAATACCCTGGGAGTCTAGTAATAGGACATAAGTAAAGTCGAACAAACAGTGTCTTCTTTTTTTTAACCATGTCAATGTATTTCTAACTATGTATAACTGTATTTGGAGGTTATGGTCCAAATGTGAATTCGACGCTCCTCCTATGTGTGAAGCTGTGTTATAACAAATTACCATAAACTTAGTAGCTTAAAACAATTCAGATATATTGTCTTACAGTTTTGGATATTAGAAGTCTGAAAACGGGTTGGCAGGGCTATATTTTTCTGGAAGCTCTAAGAGAAAAGCCTGTTTCTTTGCCTTTTCTGGCTTCTAGTGGTTGCCTGTATTCCTTAGCTCTGGCCCTGCATCGTTCTAGCCCCTGCTTCCATCCTCACACGTCCTTCCCTAACTCCGACCTCCATCTTGTAAGGACTCTTGTGATTACGCAGAGCCCACCTGGAAAACCCAGGGTACTCTCCCCCCTCAAGATCCTTAACTTAATCACATCTGCAATGTTTCTTTAGCAATGAAAAGTAACACATTGATAGGTTTCGGAGATAAGGACATGGACCTCTTTGGGGAGCCATAATTCCATCTACCATAGAAGCCCTGACCTAAAACCTCTCCAAGAACTTCCCCACGCTCCATGCTTTGTATTGTGATACAATTGGGGTTTATTTTTTCTAAACTCTTCAACTGATGTCTTAGAATATTTATTACCAATGAGTCCCAGAGGATCTCACTTTCCAAGTTATGTACTTTTATATGCCTGGTGCAGAGAAGATATTCTCTTAATGTGGCAGCTTTAAATTGGTATAAAGTAACATGGAAGCATCTTTTACCCCAACTATGCATAACATGGAACTAATTATATCTATATAAAAAAGATACAGAGAAAAAATGTTGCTTTATACTGTGTATATGAATGAATACTGCAGTCTGTTCTTTTTTTCAATACAAGTTGATCTGGTAGACATTGATAATATACAGTGTGAAAGATCTAAGGAGTCATAGCAAGGAGAGCTAAGTTAGAATATTTTCTCTAAGAACAAAACTAAATCAATCAAACAAGATTTTGGCTAAAATTCATCAAGGTTTAATTATATAAAATTATTCTATAGCAGTTAATACAACAAGAGCTTTATTACTATTCTTTGCTCAATATTAAATAAGAGAAGAAAAGATTTAACTCCATCTTTAGATTAAAAAATGAGGTTTAAAGATCAATATTAATAAATAATTTCATTTGCTTTTTTGCCGTCATAGATATACTCATTCACTCATTCACCCATCCACTTAGTCAACAGATATTTACTGAATGCATCGTACAGGCCAGATACAGGTGCGGAACTGGTGCTACTAAGTCAAGTACTGTCATAAATTTGTTTAATATAGTTGCTACCCCGGCATCCATTTTTAGGCCTGAGGTAAGTTGTTTGAAACCCAGTTGTACTCCAGCACCTGTGGACTAGTTAAAACTTCTGGTCCCTGTGTGACGGTTCGTGATAAAGTCCGCTTGTTCCTCATCCCACAGCTGGACCCAAAACCCAACACATTCCACAGCTGGTAACCATGATAAAACCTAACACCAGTCAACACCAGTCAACACCAGAGTCATGTAAATAGTTCCCCCCACCACAGGTGTCTTCTTTAAATAAGCCAATCAACCCCCCTAGTGAAAGCCCAGGGATAAAATTAAGCCCATGTACCTTAATAAAGGCATAACCCCATAGGTCCTCTATTTCTCTCTCTTCTTTCCACCGTCTGATTGTGTGCTCTGCTGTCTCCGGGAAGGACTTCCGGTTAGGTTTTGTAGGTGACCCTCTTCTCTCGTGGATCTTTAAGTAATGAAATGCTTCTGTTATCTCACGTTTTGCTGTGCTGCCTAATCTAGTATCTACCTACACACCAAAATACCTAACTTTCCTCCTTGGGCCTGGGCCGTCCTAAAGAGTGCCTATTTTGGGTTATGGCCACTTTCAAGAGAAAGACCTCAAGACCAAATTAGAAAGAAACTATAGCAATAAAAGTCACAAAGCAGTATATTATGACACCTCCTTTTCAGCTGAGTCAATAATCTGAGAAACCTCAACTAGCACAGGAGCTAAACATTAATTATGATAAAAATAACAAACGTGAAACATGCTTTCAATAAGACTACACAAAAAGAAAATTTTTATTTTTGTATGCTTTGAACTGAGAAAAATGGGAAAAATAATGGAAATTGAAATATTATAACTCGATAACATTTTCAGTATTTAAGATTATTTCTTATGAATCTTATATTATCCATTGATAAGATTACGAATTGCAGATAATTGTATACTTTAATCAGCAATTCATTCAATGAACATTAAGCTGTTACATTCTAAGAGTTAGGCACACAATCGAAACCAAAAAAGCAAGGCCCCTGCTCTCATGGAGTTTACATTCCAGGGACCTAATACATTGCTCTGGCACTCCAAATACTTCACTATATTTTCATGGTAAACATCCCCTGCAAGGACACTACTAGATAAGGGCAAGAAATGCTCCAGGCCTGGAATTCTTCATCTCTGGCTTTACTTCCGTATAAGGGCTTTATGGCTGCTCTGCCATTAGCTGTGCAATCTTACACAGTTACTTAAACATTCTAACCCTGTTTCTCCCTTTGCAAAAGGGAAATGGCAATAGTTGGGTTCTCCTGGGGATTAAAGGAGATGTGTGTCTATTGTTCAGTAACTATTAGTATTGTTTTGGCTCTGTGGTTCCAAAACTTGCCTGCTCATTAGAATCACCTGAGCATATTTCAAAAATTCTAAAGCCCAGGCCACATACCAGACCAATTAAACCCAATCTCTGAGCCTGAAACCCAGGCATCAGGACACACTCCCCAGGTGGTTCCCATGTGCAGACAAATTTGGGAACTACTGCAGTTTGGATTATTGATGTTTCATAACAGCATCTGCCAATCCACCTGTCTTTAACGGAGGTGGAACCAGAAAGCCTGGGGAGTTTAATGAAATTCAGATAATCCAGGCGCACATACACCCTCTGTCCCATCCTGTGACCTGAATCCATATCTCCTCCAAGTATTTTAAAGAAGGGAGGGATGGGATGGAGTCCTAACCACTCACGCATATGCACAGCTGTTAAGTATATGTGATACTTAGGTACTTAAGCAGTGCAGACTCTTCCACCTGTGGCGACTTCTGGGTCTGCCCCAGGCAAGCCAGCCCTCCCGGGGGCGCTGGGCCCGGGTGCAGAGGCCGCAGCCGCGCGGCGAGGGGGGATCGGCAGTCTCAGCTGCTGCAGCGGCTGTCGGGATCACCCCTGCGGGCCAGCAGCAGCGGGGCCGGCGGCTCGGCCGGGCGCCTTTCGCCTGCGCGCCCTGCGTGCCTCCCTCTTGTCCGCCCGCTACTCTGTGAGCCGGGCCGAGGGCTGGAGCTGCGCGGGGCGCTTCGGTCCGAGGCGAGCGAGACCTGTCGCGCCGCCCGCCGCCATGGAGCCCGGGCCACCCGGCGGCTCCAGGCCCGCCGAGCGGGGGCCTTGCCTGAGCAGCCCGCTCGGCGCAGACCTGGCGGCTTCGGCCTCCTTGCTGAGCGCGGCCGGGGCCGAGGCAGGGCGCCGCCCGCTCGCTGTGGCGGCCGTGTTACCGGCGGGGGGGTGCGGGGAGAGGATGGGCGTCCCCACCCCGAAGCAGTTCTGCCCCATCCTGGAGCGGCCGCTCATCAGCTACACCCTGCAGGCCCTGGAGAGGTAATGCGGCGCCGGCGCGCCCCGCGGTCCCCCAGCCCCGGGGCCCGGGCCTCGCGTTCCCCGGCCTGTGGCGGCTCTCGCGCTGGCGCCTTCACCTCAGGGACTGGGCTGGAACCCGGGCTCAGTTACTCAAGCTTGAGCTCCGTTCCCACCTGCGTTTCAGAGGTGGCAGCTCTGGCCTTTGACAAATGGGCACGGAAGCTGGAGCCACCGCACAGAGCTCTTTACGTACCCTAGCAGCTAAGGCGGCGGGGAAGGCCCGGCATGTGGCGCTGGATCAGTGCGTGCCCGGGTTGGGGCTAGAGACTTGGAGTTCTCTGTGGCCCCTGTGGGGCCCAGTGAGAAGCTGTTCTAGGAGTGCCCTGGGCTCTTCTCCGCGCATGCGTGGGCGGAGTTGTACTCGAAGCACAGCTATAAGGGTTTTGAGGGTATTTGTTCATTCGTTGACAAACGTTTACTGAGCACCTTCTATGAGACAGACTGCTAAATTAGTAGGTCCTGAAGGGGGAGAGAGGAGCAGAATTCCAACTGTTCAATAAAGGAAACAGATTTAAGCCTGAAATTGAGGCCAATACACCCTTTATCATCTTAAAAAGGGACTGAGGTTAACTAGTTGGGGAAATGAAAGAGGCAGGGGGAACGGGGTTAGGAGGACTAGGGGAGCAGTAGTGAGCTGAGGAAAACGAGGCGTACGTCATTTTTATTAATTTTACTTCTTTTTTAGCACTGAGTGATGTGATGGAGCATGGGGTGAGGGTGGAGGGGTGGAAAGCCGCGGGATTACAAGGTCCACGTGGTTTTGCTATGGCGTTTAAACTTCCTGAAGCCAGCGGGGAGCTGTGGTAGTATGTTAAATTCTGGATTGAAGTGAACCATTTGCATGTCCAGATAGGTGGCATCCTTTAGCATGCGTGGCCTTTTCAGGAGGCTTTGATGAAAACTAAGCTAGGGAGGTTCCAAGGAAAGTACCATGTAATCCAGAAAGGAGCCCCACACAAACCCTCACACACTTCAGAAGCCAAAGGACGCGGGTTGTTCATATGGTTGTTTTATTTTCTGAAGATTGGCATTTGGAAAATGGAAGTGTAAAGAGCCAGCCATATTGACCCTTGATTTATGTAATCAGGCCAGTGGTTACATATGAAACTCATATAAACTTTGAAACAATTCCAGTTGCTATCTCTCTTCTGTGTTTTTCCATTTCTTTGGGTAGTGGTGGCAGAGGGTCCCTGAAACCATCCTATGAATTGCACACCTACAATATTCCAGTGCCATAGACATTGTGATAACATAGGTCATACATGCAGGTAATCCCATGGGGCACAAAGGATCTTGGCTAACAATCTTTATCTACTTAGTAATTAGATATAGGGAACTGCAGTCATTTTTACACTTTCCTTCCCAGGGGGGAGAAAAAAAGCTTTTATATTAACTGACATTTTTGTATCTTCTGAGGCTGCCTGAGGTGCGGGGACAGTTGAAAGTCTCGCCTTTAAAGTAAAAGAATGTTTGGAAAGTGCTTGTTTATGGAAAATAAGGTGAGAGAACACTTGTTTTCCATTGTTATGTAATTGATAACAACAATCATAAAATCCTAGCTAATAACAATAGTAACTAACCAAAATCTCCATTCTGGAATACCTTAGGGCTTGTTTTTGTCACTATTATAATGCCTGAAGAATTTGTGGAATGTGATTATATATTGGGTAATCCCAGTAAATCCTTGGAAACTTTGCATTATGGAGAGGTTTGGGTGCTTTTTGGCCATTTGCCAAATAGAGGCCCTTATCTTTTTTATTCCCCACCCTCAAAAGATGGGCCCAACATACTGCTGATAGTTTTCCTAGAGTATGGTGCCAAAAGTCCTCAGTCCTTGCATCCCAAAAGATAAAGTGTGTAAGTTAAAATAAGGGAGGGACATAGAAATTAATAATGTCTTACATAACTATTTTTGGCTCAGTTGAAATTATACATGCTTACTACTTAAACCACAGCTTTTTGTCCCAAAGAAAAGTAATTGGATGTCACTATTGTCAATCATCTAGATTATACTGAGAGGTGTTATTTCTTGCCCTTTAAGAGCTATGTGTGATGCCCCAAATTTGACTTCAAAGTCATTTTTTTTTGCCCCTCATAATTAAGAATTTTCCTTGCTCAAGTTTTGCTATTTCACTAATAGAGGGTTGAGAAGTTGTGACTCTTGATTTTTTAGCTATTTATCTCTCCTAAGAAATTAAAGATACTTGTTGAAAATAACTCTTGTGGGTTAACATGTCTTTTGGATTTTTGAATCAACCTAAAATCAGTTAGAGCCTAGGAAAGAGAAGAGGGTGATCCCTGAACTTTGGCCCCAAATTCCTCAACTGGGATAGGGAAATATAAAGAAACATGACCAGTCTTGCTTCTAGTTAAACATTGCCATTTAAACATGGCTTTTGTTTGTTTCCCAATTCTTTCACTTATCCATATAAAGGAACTAAAAATGTGTAGCCACACAAGGGAGAAATGAATGAGAGGAAGTGCAGTGGATAAATACCAACAAAATTCAGGATGGTAGAAAGGAGACAGGAGTGGTAACCAATCAGATTTAACAGATCCAATAAAGCAAAACCATAAGCCTTCAGGTAGGACAGCCATGAAGAAGTAAGCTAATTAAAGTCATAGGACCTTGGAAAAGTATAAGAATTAGAGGGACAGGGTATCTCTGAAGGTAGGGTAGACAGTGAAAAGAGGACAACTGATTGAAACTTTCCAAAGGAATGTTTAGACTCCCAGATCTCTGGCAGATACTGACATTTATTCTCTGGCTCAGAACCAGCACAACTAATGGCTGGAGTGAGATGCTCTATGGCAATGGGGGAATTGACAGACTGCATTTTGATATGGTGATATCCTTAGCCCCTAAGGTAGATGACTCAAGGAAGTTTTCTCCTTTTCAAACATGACAATGTATTAAAGTAACTATTCTTCTATAATGAAACAGTTGGAGGAGGCATTGAAAGAAAATCCATTTTGTGAACAGGGACTTCAGATCACTTGTCTCTTTCCTTTGGGCAAAATTGGGAAATCCACGTTTTTCTGGTTTAGCGAAGTTCTACTTTGCTCCATTGAAATTGCTTAGAAAAATAATTATCAGATTAAATGAGATTCAAAAGTAGCTCTGAGCCCTCCAGTATCTGAGGTATGTTGACTAAAAGGCTCTGTTTGGGAAAATAGAGGCTTACAGTTTATCAAAATTATGTGCGTGGCTGTATTTGTATATTGTGATAGCCATTGTGCATGTATGTGTAGACATGTATAAGTATATATGAATATGTTTGTAGGTTCATATATTATTTATTTTTAAGAGTATACAACTGGTAGTCCAGATTTGTGCATTACGGATATGCTAGAAGGATCAAATATAACAACCGATTTCTAGGTCGTACTAGAAACAAGACCCTTTCAGAAGTTGACCAAAAATGTTTGTAAGATTTTGAAGTTTTATTTTGGCCTTTTAGGGAAATTGAAATACAATTATTGGACCCCAGATTATAACTTAAAGAGAATTTGGGTTTTGTCACTTTACTAACAAGGAACTGATATCAGGGTTCCCTTTCATAACTATTACTTTGTGACCTGAGTTTCTACAAGGAAATTTTGCTTTAAGAAATCATGCGGCAGTGGTATTGGCAAGGCATAAAGCTCTGACAATTAAGCTGCAAAATTTACTCACAATTGATCAACTCATGTATCTAAATTTGTCTGTTTAAAAAAATGTATTCTCTGGATCTGAAGTAGGAAGTAAAAATTCCTGCCAGTAATTTAATTTCCAGCTTAAACTATATAAAGAGTTATTGGGGGTGGAGGGGTTGGTCAACCTGGCATAGCTGAAAAGTAGATTAAGATGACAACTACAACAAAAGCAAGTAAGAGAAGTAAATTTTGGCCATGCTTATTCAGACTTGGTGGTCTGCTGGGTGGGGGTGGGAATTCCTGACAATAGATTTGAACGAGCTCTGGAAGGGCTTTTCCCCATAGCCCATGAGGTTTCTTGGGCTCTCTTAGGTGAAGGACACTGCTTAAGATAATTTGTTCCTTTGTATGTTTTCCTGCTCCTCAAATCTTATTATGATTTGGCCTCCCATATAAATCTTCTACAGGAAGGTGCAATGTTCCACTGATTAAAAAACATCCCAGACTTTGTTGTAGTAATGTGTATCATTGTATAGTAAAATCCTGGCATTCTAATCCATGTTTCAGTCCCTTTTCAGTTTGGCTAGAGTGACTTAGTCTCCCTGTGTCTGACAATTCCAGGTAAATTTGGAGAAAAAAATCAGTTTTGTAGGGCTATATTTATATTATGGAAACCCAATGTGATTGGATTGCTTGTTTGTTGTATTGCTTGAAAAATCAATGGAGGTCCATGTTTAGTTGTTTGAAACTCCATGGTATGTTTTTTCAGTGTATTATAGCTTATTTTCTTTTCTCCTTTTCTTTAGGGTTTTTTTTTGTTGTTGTGTACTTTAAAAAATTCTACCTTATTTCTGAAAACCACTCCCAATTCTGTTGAACAAAGTGCACTACAAATAAATATGTAAATGTTAGCCCAGTAAACAAGGCTGAACATTTAAATTAAGCTGAGAATAATAGGAATGGGGTAGGGAAGACAGGAGAAATATTGAGGAGGTAGTATTGACAGGCCTTAGTGATGAGCTGGATTAGGGATTCATAAAGAGAAACGTGTTGAGGATGCTTTTAGTTCAGTGGTCAGTTAGATGAATTTGACTTAAATTTTTGTCTGAAGACTTTCTTAATATTATAAAAGGGTCAAGTCTGAGTCAAGGAAAGGCATAGGGCTGCTGTGTTTTGTACAGGTCAGATGGTTAGAGATTTGTCATGTTCCCAAATGCCACCATGGGACTCCTTCAAAACAAGACATAAGACCAAGACAGGTAGGCTGAGGCTTGACATATGGAAGCCTTCATGGGCCATAGTAAGGAGGCTTAACATTGCCAAAG